AGATACAGAGAAGGCGATCACTCATGAGAGACAAAGAAAAGACGAGCACTCACAACAGACACAGAGAAGGCATGCATTCATGAGAGACACAGAGAAGACGAGGACTCATGAGAAATACAGAGAAGGCATGCATTCATGAGATACAAAGAGAAGGTGATCACTCATGAGAGACACAGGGAAGGTGATCACTCATGAGAGACAAAGACAAGACGAACGCGCAGAGGCTGATGGCGCCCGTAGCCTACAGAGCGAGCGCGCGAGCGTGCAAGAGAGAGAGAAAAAAGAATACAGACAGCGAGAGGCCTACCCTGACGCGATGACCCTTGCAGACGGTGCCACTCATGACTCTTCCGAGGAGGTCGAAAGCGGAATAGTTGTTTGGTCGGTGGTAATTTTTTGTTGTGTAAATCATCAAGTAAGGACTTTTTCTGTCGACGGCCTTCATAGCCGACGCTACGGCTCCCTCCTAAAAGCAGCCACACGGCATCTCAGCGTCACGGAGCGGGGCATGTCATGCATCGCCAGGAAAAGGCACACCAGCAGCAGCAGCAAAGGGACACCTGGCTGCAAGGAAATCCGAATCCAGAGAAACAGGCGATCAGTTTACACACACAGACACACAGACACACACAGACAAAGACACCCACAGCAGGCGAAAGAAAGAAAGAGGCAGGCTCACTTGGTTGCCCGTGTAGACCTTTTGCACTTTGGTTACGGCGTTCGCCTTTGGATCTCGTATTTTCTCTACCACACAATCCACGAAAGAGCTGCACCAGCGCAACAGCGGCAACGCGCCCAACCGCCAGCAGCAACACCGCACTAAGAAAACGTCCCCAGGGCCTCACACAACAACCCCACGCATCCCACACGCCGATATATTTGTGTAAACGTATAATTGAGCGTACATGTAAGAATGAATCGCGATCTCAAAAGGGCACGGCAACGACCAACTAACAGCCCAATAATAGAAAAGGAAGAACCCTTTGTGTAAACTGGCGAGCAAAAGGATCGAGGTGTTCACTCCCTCCGTATATTTATGTATGGGTATGTAGGTGTATGTCTGTGTACGTGCATACATGTATGTGTGCATATATATATATATATATATATATATATATATATATATGTGTCGGCGAGTGTATGTAGGTGTATGCATGTTCTGATGCCATCTCCCATCCCAAGTTCTAGAGGGCTAAGTACTGCCTCCACACCCCGCCTCAACCCTGCAACGACTGCAAGCAGCCGGTGTGCCACAGGAGCCCAGCAATGAGCTGCTGCCTGTAGAGATTAAGGCAGCAGCAGCCGCAGAAATCATCTGACCTCGAATCGCCGAAGAAGACGGAGAGAACCCGCTTCAGCAACGTGCGACTGTCCAGCAGAAAGTCTTCAGAGCGGAGATGAATCCCCAGCTGCAGCCACCCCAAGCAGAGGGAGGAGTGGAGGCACAGAAGGACGACCTTCTACAGAAGAAGCAGGAGTAACACGCCATAGCAGCATCCGTATGAACGTGGGGTACGAGAGACATCCCGGAGAGTGCAGCGGCACAAAGAGGAAGCGCTGCCACCCAAGCAAGCGTCGGCTGTGCGCAGCCGACACTTGCTTGGGTGGCAGCGCTTCCTACAACAAGCGGGGAGCAGAAGACACAAGACTGAGGCTTATATAAACACAGGCCTATTGAGAGGAAGCTCCCCACGGGGGCACATGTGAGCAGCACACGACATGCACGGGAGCCACCCATAACCGCAGGTGACAGCTCGGCTAGGCAGAAGCACAGAGCAGAGGGCGTGAGCAGCTGCCGTGCAGTGGAAGGGAGGGCAGGAGGCGCAAAATGTATGTGTCCATAGGCAGCGACCGACACGGAGGAGAGCAAAGAAAGAAGCAATCCGCAAGAGCAGCAATATTGAGAGACGGCAGCGCACAAGACGTCGCAGATATCCCTCCCTCACTTCTGCAAGCGTTGGCTCCAGCGTAGGTCTCTCCTCCGCAACGCAGTGTGCGAGCAGCTTGTAAAGGGGTTCTAGAATGAATTCAACGAACATTCGGGGAGCATCCTGCACACCAAAGTCACACAAGGCCAAGAAGGCTGTCTGCAAGCTGACTGCGCCGCTCCGACAGCCCTTCAAAGGGGAATTCCGCCGCTCCTAGAAGGCCGCTACCGCTCGCGCATGCACTTTAACCTCCACCCAAGCGCCGCTTCCCCCTGCCTTCCTCCGCGATGAATAGAGTAAACCACGCCGCTCGCGCCTCTCCAACAGCAGGCGAAGCAGGCAAAAGCGGCAGCTGCTGCAGTCACACCAAGGCCTACCGGGAAGGGGGGAGCCGACACGACACGGTGTGTCTCTGGATCTCGGTAAAAGTCTCCCCACAAGGCGATCTCGAACAGCTCGAGTTGCGTGTAAACGTCGGCAGGCGTGTCATCCTTCGTATGATCGCCCTCGTTGGCGACTTCGTCGGTCTCCTTGTGCTTCTTCCTTCTGCTGATCCTGGCCTCTCCTTGCTGGCTCTGCTGCTGCAACTGCTGCTGCAACGCCTCTGCCTTCAGCAGCTTCTCCATGGAAACGCCGCCGAAGAGCGCCGCTGCTTTCGGGGTGACGTTCGCGTCGCTGCTGCTGCTGCCCTCCGCCTGCGTCGCTGTGGGGTTGAAGACGTACGAGTCAAAGTACAGCGCCGCAAAGGACTCTACCGAGAAGACGAAGGAAAATTGGCTCATTGCAAACACCAGATTCCTGTTGCGGGGAGACACGACCAAGGGGGGCAAACCGCGCATGCTGCATATTGTCTCGAGCGTCTCGTTGAGCTGCGCATACGCACATCGCACACACGCGCCCAAGACAACTTCTACAACGCGTGTCTCCGGATCTCAGGAAAAAAGAAATCACGCAACGCTCTTCTAAAATGCGGAAATGGCCTTCGCCTCCGATCGCGTTCCTGACTGCCGCCGTGAGGACTGGCGCGTGGCAGCCTCCTTTTTTGGCAGGCAGACACACATACATGCGAGAAGAAAACAGCACCACTAAAAGGCCTCTTCACTGACCCCGTGCCGCGCAACAACCGGCTACTCCTTTGCACGAATAATGAGGAGCTCTCTTGCATGCAGAACGGAAGCCGCGCGGCTTGGCGGTGCAGTCGCAGTTCACACGTGAGAAGAAAACAGCACCACTGGCGAGAGGCTCCACAAACAGTACACGCAGCACGAATGCGTAGAGGAGGAGACGCCGGCGCAAAATCCAATCCAGATAAAAATACGTAAAAGGGAGACAGACACCATGCGCATGCAGCCGCCTTGGGGCTAACGACGCCGGCTCCCAAGAGAAGAAACGAGCGCAGCGCGGCACGAAGAGTCACAGAAAAAAGGCCAAATGGAAGAACGCAACCTAGAGCAGCGGATGCAACTGTTGAGACAGCCGGAGGAGGAAACGTCGCCCAAGAAGGCGCGTGAACACCATGCACGGCGGCATGGATGGGAGGGGAAGTAGGTAGGCCGGAGGGAGGGGACTGCTGAGCTGTCTGTACACACCTCGTCGAGCATGCACTTGATCTTGTAGTACGCATCCTGTGGTCTGAGCCGGAGCTCCAGAACCAGCCTGTCCAGCTTATTGAACACAACCACAAGGCCAAGCCCTTCCTCTACAACCTGCGCCAGTTGTGGAGCTGCCGACGCCTGCAAGCCTTCCAAGGCGTCCACGAAGTAGATGGCGCCGTCACACAGTCGCATTGCAGCGCTCGCCTCATCCGAGAAGCAGACGTGTCCTGGCGTGTCGATGATGTTGAACAGGAAGCTACGCGAGCCCGTGAACGGAGTTGACGCCTCCTCCCCAGTGCCGTCTGCGCGAGAATGGCTGCTGCCGTCTGTGGCGCTGCTGCTTCTGGCGCCGTTGCTGCTCTCTTCTTCTTCGCCGTCTTTCCCATTGGCGTCGGCTGCTTCGGGCGCTTTGTTGCCGGCGAGAAGAAGAGGCGCAAGCGTGCGCGATCTGTGGTGGTGCGAAGTGCGAAGAACGAGAGAGATGGGTGTGGCCTTGATGGAAAGGCCGCGTTTCTGCTCGTCGGTCCGAGTGTCGGTGTATCTTCTGAAGTATGTCTTATGCCGCTTGTTTGCGTGAGGCGCCTCTACGTGCTGCGTCAGCAGCGAGAGGCCTGGGGGTAGGCGGTTTGGATGCGTCTCTTCAACCAGCATATCCACAAAGGTGGTTTTCCCGGAGTGCAGGTGCCCCAGGAGGCAAATGTTGCGCACGCACTGGGGCGAATGCATGAGGCCTGCAAGGTAGTCGAAGGAGAAGGTCGTCTCTGGAAGCTCGGACTCTAGAAGGTCGAAGTCTGAAAGCTTCGTGGTGGCTATGATCGGCTCAGTTATCGGCTGCAAGTCTTCCTCCTGCACGAGCGTCTCTGCCTCCGGATACACCTCCGACGCGGTAGGATAGTACTGCTTGAGCTCGTGAGGGACCGGCTTCTGCTGCTGCTGCTGCAGGTCCTCCTCGTCCATGCGCACTAGCCCTCGCCTCACGAGCTCCCCATCCGCCGCAGAAACGCCCCCCGCAGCAACAGCCGCAGCGGCTGCTGCCGCATCGGCTGCTGCGGCCGCTTCAATGGCCGCTTCCTCATCATCCGAATCGTCCGAAGCCTCCAGTTCGGGGCCAACATAATTCCCAAACTCGTCGTACTGGTCGAGATCCATGTTGCCTGGTTCCCGCTCCTGCCTTCCGTCGTGAGTTCTTCCCGTAAGAGTCCTCGCTATGGGGAAAACTACCTACGGTTGAACAGGGGCCCCAAGGCTCCCAGATTGCAAAAATAGCGAATGCAGAGTAATCCGTGGCCACACCAAAGCGCAGAGAAGACAGCGGCCGCGTTTGCAGCGGTGTTCGGCAGCGGCGGCATGCAGATCCTCGACGAACCCAATGCTTAGGAGCTTGAGCAATTCTTCGGGCTTCCTTGGAGACAAACGCAAACCCCAATACCAGAAAATAAACCCCAGGATCCATCCTGTTGGCACAACGCAATCCAGCTCCGCCCACGTGCTCCTACCTGTAGGGCATGCATTGAACGGGGCTGCCCCCCAGTAGCGAATCCCACACTCCGAGAAAAACGTCGAGAATTGCACCGGCGTTGTATTTGTGCTATGGCAATGTTTTGTGGCAATAAATGCCCTAAACGGAACTGGGTTTCTCGGGAATTCAGTCATTGAGTACCGTGGGCTGCAATCCCTGGCAGGTTGTGGCTGTCGGCTTACAGCGATAATGAACACGCACAACACTAATCCAAGCAAGTAGAAAGAAACAAAGAGGCGATTCAATTGGCATGTCCTTTCTGCAGCTCTTAGCTCTTGTTGGGAGCATCGATCAATCAGGGCAGCGCTCCCCTTCCCTGTGTGTGTAGCAAGCTATGGTACACTTGAGCATTTGGTGCTCGGCTTGGTATATTTAGCGATAAAATTATCAAGTATTAGCTTTTTGGTTTGGCTGCTCGTATACGCTACCTGTTGCCGAGTGCAATGAGCTCGAGGTTGGGAAAATTGACACTGTGTGTCTGCACACAATGGCTGTTAGCCATTGGCCGCGAACCCATAGAGTGCTTAGACGGCGGGGTAGTAGCGCGTACGCTAGCGTTCCCTCCCCATCCCACCATGCTTGAGCCTTGTGGGTCCAGGGTAGGCAGAGGGGGAGTTCTTTTGCAACATTGAACACCTCTAGTAATCGTCGTACTGTGTTTGAACGAAAATTGTCTCACTGCGGAGGACTTAATCGGAGCTTCACATGGCTCTCTTCACTTTTCTGGCTCCAAGATTTTATTTATTGTGAAATCCTAGGGGTGCAGTCACAATACAGCAACCGAGAGGCTGTTAGCGGCACTGCCACCTTTCCTTGGTTTGGGAGCAGTGAAAACTTTCTTGCTGCACTTCCAACCGCTTAAAAACGTAATACCAAATGTTTCTGCGCGTAGCCCGTCTGCAGAGGCATGCAACACCATCAAACAAGAATTCGGCTTGCGATAATCCTCAAACAAGGAGCAAATTGAGCAATTCTTCAATGGCGAATCAGGCCACCGGAGTCTGTTTGTTCACCCGCTTACTTGCGAGCCTAAAGCAAAGAAAAAAGTGCCTACCATTCCTTTGCAAGCAACTAAAATCCTGGAGTTTATGGCGGAGTGAAATGTGTTCGTTTAACGAAATACGATGTCTTGTGAAGCGTGAAAAAAACGCACTGTCCATAAATTCGCTGTCGTATCCTTGTACTGACAGGTGGATGCCTAGCTGAAGTAGGGAGAGTTTTGATTTAGATGGGATTATTCACACTCTAGGCAATACTACTGTCATTACATACTGACGTGTTAGTCGTATGTTCTAGGCTGCTTCGACGTAGCTACGAGCAAAATCCGAGCTGCCCTGCACGATATCAACTTCTTTCTGAGCAGGTCCAAAACAAAGCTTAATAGTAAAAACGTGAGTGGAAAGAAACCCGTAGTTGAATTCAAGTAACAGAATGCTGCATTCTTCTTGCAAACGGAATAATTAAGAAATCAGATAACAGCTGCGTATTCTACGCAAGTAGAGAGCACTCTCTACAACGGCCCCCAAAGAGGTGCCTGCATCGGGCGCCGAATGCTGTATAGCGTCCCGTTGTACACAAGTTCGTTCTGTGCGAGCGAGTTTATGAAAGTTATAGCGCTATGCACACTCGTATAGTTTGCGGACATAGTTCTCGTGTTCGCCTGTTTAGTCTTGCGTTTCTCTGTGCGTTTCATTCTCGCCTGCTCGCTCCCTGCTCTTTTCTTGCCGTTTCAAAAGGACTTCCTGAGGAATACGTTCGCGATGCCTTGAATCGCTTCTTCCATCTGTTCCCTAGTGATGCACAGGGGAGGGAGAAAGCGAACAACATTGCCATGTGTGGGCCTACAAAGAATTCCTTCATTTTTTAGTTCCATGCAAAGCTGAGTTGCCACGCCGCAACTACCCTTGACTTCCACAGCATTAAGAAGACCTCTCCCCCTGATGTCATGAATCCAGCTAAGCTTGTGTTCATCCTTCAGTTTCCTGAGTGCCCCTCTCAGTAGCTCTCCTTGTAACCGTGCGTTCTCTGCCAAGTTTTCGTCGACAATTACTGACAGAGCCTCGTACGCAACTGCACACGCCAAAGGGTTACCCCCGTAGGTAGAGCCATGAGTGCCTGGCGTAAACACATCCATCACGTGCCGATCCGTAACAACGGCGCTGCAAGGAAGCGTGCCCCCTGTGAAGCTCTTCCCCAACAGCACAATGTCGGGCCGAACCCCATCCCAATCACTGGCGAGCATTCGGCCTGTCCTCCCCAAACCTGTTTGTATCTCATCAATAATGAACAACACATTCTTCGCACGACAAAGCTCAGCCGCCTTGCGTAAATAACCGTCACGAGGAATTATTACACCACCTTCTCCCTGAATTGGTTCCACAAAGAATGCAGCCACTGCCTGGTCCTCCAGGGCATGTTCCAAAGCCGGCAAGTCGTCGTAAGCAATCAGCTCGAACCCAGGAGTGTAGGGACCAAAACTGTAGGCATGCGCATAAGAACTATCCTTAAGAACTGACATACAGTTTCCATTCTCCTGCCCAGCCCAATGGCTCGGCGCATGGAATTGTGTACGAGGTATACATGTACACCTGAGCATACGCAGAGCTTTGGGGTCCTTGAATTTTAAATCGGCATGACTGACTTCTTGTAATTCTCGAGCGTGGTTGAAGAACTGGCGGCAGTAATGGTGCGGCCCCAGTAGTTATTTCTGCAGAGAATGATTTTGGCCGTGTTTTCAGGAATACCTTTGACTTCGTAACCCCATTTCCTTGCCGCTTTCAGCGCAGTCTCCCCCGCCTCAGCACCTGCAAAAAGAATCAGGCGTAGCATTTCAACTTCAGCTGAGAACCGATGCAATGGTGGAACCGGTGGTGGGGAGTGTATCACGAAGCCACTCCTGCCATGGAAGTGGAGGCATGCTGTACACAAAGCGTGGTTAATGTGTATTATCGGCGAAGAGTATATCATGAGATGCCTTTAATGTTTGCTATTCTTCCTATGAGCGAAACTGTTCGTTCTTGAGCCTTCTCCGTTGGTAAGCAAGTGTTTGAGTTGGCCGCTAAGTCCATGTTGATACCAGGTATGTGCTCACATAAGAATACATATCCACTTACCGGTGTTCATCAGGATGGTCTTTTCATATCCTAGCAGATCATTCACGAATTTACAGAGGATTGGCATTACGTTATTGTGCAGAACACGGCAAGTGAGAGTGAGTAGCTTTGCTTGCTTTTCCAACGCTTCCACAATGCGGGGATGGCAGTGGCCCTGATTGAGGCTCTGCACGGTCACAGCAACCCGTTGACAATATAGAGTAAAGAACGCTATATTGCCTGTCACGATAAGAAGCCTGAGTCTCTTTTGTGTGCTATATGGCACCAATACACAAAAGTCCGATGCCTGCGTCTACCTTTGTTGCGTGCGGACTGAGGGACCATGTGTTTTGCGTCTCACTGAAATGCCAGAAACAAAGTCGTAATAGCGTTTTCCATCTGTGTCCCATACGAACACACCCTCTCCCCGTGATATAACTACTGGCGTTGGCACGTAATTAGGTGCGCAATTTGCCCTCTCTATACGGAAATAATCGTCCTGCGTTCTGAGCCCTAGAGCTTTGCGGTATTCATCAAATGTTTTGCTTCTGCTTGGGGTGCTGGATCCAGTAGAACTTGCCCCACTTAAGCAGCGGACGCAACTGAGTTGTTGGTACTGACAAGAAAAGGAACTCGAGCCAGCCAGCAAGTGGTTCCTCGAAAGTTTACGGACTTGGGCCTGTATGCTGCAGCCGCAGGGTGAAGGAATGCTTGGGTGAAGGCGACTGGCTAGAGAATTAATCATATTGCATCCCTGCATCTCAAGACAACTGATCAGGTACTGCCTGGCCTTGCTGAGTGCCGAAAAGCATGGAAGATCACAGTGGGCGCGATTTCGGCCCTCCAAGGCGCAATATTAGGTCTACAAAACACAGATACCAAGAAAGAACACATGATATAGTGGCAATGAAGCATATATACACAGAGAACGAACAAGCAGGCTGCGTGTGTCGCCTAAACGCAGACGACTAAGGCTTCCACACACGGCACAAAAGCAACAGAGGTAGCTGCGAGAAACCGCAATGAACACCTCTTAGGCTCTTAGCAATTTTCCTAGGACTAAACAGAATTGACAAAAGAAATATTTTGGTTTTTCAAGGTGGTTTGCGCAACATGTTTTCATCCGCCGTGGCACTTTTACAGCTTTCGTGCGTAAGCTCATTTGTCCCTAACCGCAGTAGCAATCGTTTCTCCTAGCACCACCAATGCAGATTTATTAATTTACATAGAGTTGATGTGGCTGAGCTCAAACCGCACCATCTACTGCATTGTGAGCAAAGCGTGCAGACCCTGTGGGACATTTCTGCGTCGTCCCACGCGCACGCTACACTCTTTCTTGGCTCTGAGCTCTCAGTGCATCTCTCCACTTTATGCATCATCATCAACAACTGTGCACTATAAGAAAATTGGAAGGCCTTAGTAACTGGCCACTCCCTCTTTAACGGGGGCATGGGAAGATAAGGGACTTCTCCTGGCTACAGTATGATTGACCAGCGGTTCTAGATCTTTTCCGAGCCGTATAGCTTTCACATCCCCACTGTGTGGCCATTATTCTGGGTAAAGCAACAGCCATGCTACAATGCACTGATCAAAACTCAAACCATGGTGGTTCACTGACTCTAGAGGTCGGTCGACTGGACCTCTCGGGCTGGGAAACGGTGCAGAATAGGGTTGGGCCGAAGTTCGTATGTGCTCAAACAGATACTTGGCCATGAACTGACCATATTTAAGCTCATAAATCCGAGTACACGCTGCTTGTATATAGATATGTCCTTATCCCCACCTAACTTCCCACGCAAGCTGGAAAGTTGAAGGCCTGTACCACGCAGTAAGATCGAGAAGAAACTCCTTAAAGCGTCACCAATTAAAACGTCTACAGCCTCCTAAAGAGCTTTTTACCTATGGAGCACAGAGATTTGCAGACCGCCATAACCTCTTGCGAAAGTGTGTGCCTTAGCGGCATCACTTTGACGGACTCGCACGAGCATCTCTCTCGGTTAGTACTCCTCCCCTACCCGGACCTGTGGTAACCAAGGGGCCTTATACACTGCATCTCTTAAGTCCGAAATACTTTATGGTATCGAAAAACTCTACTCCGCCGAGTATAAGAAGCAGTGCATTTAAGTGCTTTCGAATTGTTGTTTCTTTCTCTCCAAAGCGCCAAAAGCCGCTGCCTCCAGCTGCTGCAGGGACATGCTAGCTGCCACCTTCGACCCGCCTAGCCACTCCCACCCTTTTTCTATATCAGCCTCAGCCTGCTGCTTTGCTGCATCAGCGCGACCCCTGTCACTACAGGCCCTTACGTACTCCAAAATGCGCCCCGCTGCGCCGCTGGTGGGGGATGTGCCCTGAGCTCCACCCAAGCCAAACGCCGCGGCAACTGCTTTTACCTGCGCTGTACTTAACTCCCCAACACCATTGCACTTGCTACGTGCGGCGGATCTGGAGCTGAGAGTGTCAGCCTGTGTGGCTTGTACACCAGAAAAGGGCACCTTTGGAAAAGAATGAGCTGCATCCTCCTCTTGGGCGGCTGCCAACGCCGCAGCAAAGGCCGCTGCCGCCTTCTCAGTCTCTTCTGCAATATTAAGGGCCTCTTCATCCTCTTCATTAGTGGTAGCTGCTCCTCCACCAGAGCTGTCCTCCTTTTGTTGCTGGTGTAGTTCAACAACGCCCGCGATGTTTCGCACTCTCTGTAACAGCGCCTCTAGGCCTTTGACCTTGTTGGCAAGCTTAGCACTGAGACCATGTGCCTTGCTTCCACCGGTGTTTGATTGGCATTGTCGCTGAAGGAGCAGTGCTGACTCAATAGCACGCTCCCTGGAGGTGAAGGATATGCAAGCCTGGCCCTTTGATTTGGAGAATAGACACAAATCGATGGCCCCGTGCGCTACTAGCAGAGAACACAGCAATTCTGGTGTAGGGACCTCTGGTGGTACGGCTTTGCTGCGACTAATTCGCCCTCCTTGTACTGCCTCTTCCGCATTATCCGCCTCAGCCTTAGCAGCAGGGAGCCACGACAACAAAACGGACCTGTAGAGAATAGCTGCCAAGTCATCTTCGGCCTCTGCTGCCTCTTGTGAATGCAATGGAGCTTGTGGTTGCCAGTGCTGCTGCTGGTAAACCGAATTCTGCCTAAAGCACTCGCGCCTCATGGCATCCCTCTCTTGCTTTTTGCGCCTCAACAGGTTCTCATTCTGCTCTCTTATCTCCTTCAGCAGCTCCGCTTCTGAATCAACTTTGGGCCCCTTGCGTGCCTCTGCCTCTCGCCTCTCGAGCTCTGCTTTTAGTCGTTGGCGCTCCTTGTCTTTTGCGGTCCACCTGAGTTTCTGCTGTTCGCGTTCCTGCCGCAGGCTGAGAAGCGCCTGCAAGTGCTTGTGATAAGCCTCCCTTTGGCTTGCGTCCGATAAGAAAGCAAAAGCGAGGTTCACCTTCACAAACTCTGCGCCCGCTTCTGCCTCTCGCCCCTTGTTTTTGTCAGGATGTGCCCGTAGAGCGGCTTTTCGGTAAGCGGTTCCGATGGCTTTGATGGCCAGGCCCTCTCTGGCCCTGATGGCGGCTTCATCAAAAGCGCATTCTTGCACGCTGACTGGTCTCCCATGCTCCGGGAGGCACAGGCCAAGCAAAGTGTATGGACACAGCCCCTGGAGGCCTTCGGGCAGAGCGCACCGCCCTGTTGTCATTGCGTTACATCCAGTGCTGATGTACTTTTACCAGTCGAAACACTTTTAATAGGTCTGAGAGCTTAAGCAATCCAGGAAGAGCCTAGCCGGAAGGTCCGTAGTTGCCCTAGAGGGAAGGATGGCCCTCCAGGCACCAGGTAACTAGGGGCATGTCCGAATCACTAATGCGATTAAAAAGCAAGAAAGAATAGATAATAATCATCTTGCTGCATTTGGCTTGGTTTGAAGCGCATAGCGCCATATGCTGCAATGATATTATCTTTCCATTCCTAGTGGGGCTGCGGCTTCGGGGACTCACAGTTGAGTGGAGGGCCCCCTAACAAATCTGGAAAACATAATACGTATCGTCCGATGTTTGAAAACCAGACCATAATCACCATCATCAACACTGTCCTACTATTGACTGGGTTTTAGTTGGAGAAATGGGGACAGTGGGGCGGGCGGTGTAGGTCACTCCCGAGAATGCTCTGTACACGCAAACAGGAGAACCCTCTTTGGCATCAATATTAAGCTAGTTGCGTCGACCATCTGCGTGTGCGCTCTAAGTGTGCTATACGGCTAGCACAGCTCCTCCACACTCTTTCCAAATATTGCAGGATCCCTGTGGTACATCAACAAGTTCGTCCCATCCCATTACGCGGCCTAAAATAAGCAGTGCAGTACAACTTGAGGTGCAAACTGAGTTGAACAGGTACCCTTATTTAGATTTATGCATTCATTCGGGTCATCGTTGAACAATGTATACGCATTTCAGAATGGTGCATGAATATCCATAGCCGTGGAGGCCTAAGCTAGGCGTAAATACTTTCTACTACATTGGATTCAGAACAAGAACCAGTATAACTAACTTATCGGTTCGTCTGTTCGTAAGTCTTATTCTTTGCAAAGGACTGACAGCTCGATACAAGAGGCGCTCTACTGTGTTCGCGTGGGCGACATGCTACGTGCTACTATCTGTGAGTGCTCGGAATGCTTAGATGCACCGAAGCCCACCCTAACTGTGCCACTGCCCTCAGGTTGAGAATTTAGAGGCGTGCTGGCAGGAGATAGGGGGAGGACTTCCGAAAAATACATAGTAATTTCCTGTTGACTCTGCATTGAGCCTGAAGTAGAGTGGGTCTTTACAAAATCTTTTTATAGCATTTTAGAGCTGGCAGCACTGCATGGGTCGACACACTTGCTCTCCGCTCATCCAGTGGCTGTGGATGTAGTGCACTGCCAAGTTCGTCTGCAAGAAGGATCTGGCTTCGCTCAAACCATTTGTTGACTCAATTATTTGTTTTTCTTTGGCAAAAATTTTGGCGCACACCGTCTCAAAGTACACATTGGCACAACACCTATTCAAGAGGCGGAATGCGGCTTGCAAGCTGGTGTGAACGCAGTATCGTCACAGCGGCTAGAGAGTAAGTTCAATTCACTCTCAAGAGAGGCATCGAGGAGTTTATACCAACCAGATAAGTATAGTACTCGTAAGGATATGAATATATCCAAAGAGCGTTCCTGCCAGCTGGGGACGTACCTCGTGTTGCATGCTGCTGATGAAGAAAACTCAATTCTGTTAAGGCATGCTTCTTGGAGTAAGTAGCACTTGAGTTGTGGCTCTTCTCATGCAAAGGGAGCCGTGTGCCTGCATGAAGTCCTACACTTCAAGTCTTCGTACAATCCCTGACTCACCCATTTATGCTGGGATTAGTCCACCTGCAAGCATTGGAAGAACTGAAAAAATGTACACCAGGAGACTCAGTCGATCGGTATTCTAATATGTATGGGACTTTGGCTTGCCAAAGCCACTACGACGATTAACAGAGACTTTATCACTGGTTAAACTCGGTGCTACACAAAGTGTCAGGTCATGTGGTTGCAGTATAGGCAGCGACTGAGCGACGACCAAGCAGCCGACGGGTGCTGCTTCTACACCGGATGGACTACCTGAAGATGAGAGCAAAGGAGCGTAATCATTGCGTGCTTGGCTGAAAGAGGCAGCCAAGCCGGGCTTTAAAAATCATGGATTTTGGGGCTGTGCTAACAAGCCCTAGCCTACAGACTTTCGAGGATGACGATAGAATGCCGGAGGGAATCTGCACATTTAAGCAGCCTCATTGCCACAGCAAGGCATCTGTTTGCATCCTGAAAATTTGGATCACATAATGCGGAAGCGAAAGCGAATGCACAAATTTTAGGAACTTGAACAACAGGAGTGGGTCCAGCGGAAGCACGCTGCTTGGCAAACAGACAAGGTGCATCAGGGAACGGGAATCTCCCGTGCATGCTTCGGCACAGAAGAGGAGCAACAGAGGGTAGTGCTTCAATTCTCAACTCACAATCGTTCAGTTCTGCGCTGATACATTTTCACGTCAATGCTAAAGTGCTACTAGCGGTACCGTACTTGACAGTGGGTGTGACATGAATCTGCTAGGCAAAGCCACGGTGCACAGGTGCAGTCTGCCTGGTCACTCGCTAGCGCAGTCTTTACTACTAAGATTTGCTGATGAGCGGCAGAATGCAAGGCTTTGCAGGGCTACAGCAGTTAAATTCCACTTTAAATTGGAATCGGTTAGTATCAGCATGGTTCGCAACACCTCTATTGCATCCGTGCATCAACACGTAATCCTGGATTTGCTATGGATGGCCCATTGAGACTAAAGATCCGGTCAGAGATGTGCTCTGTAGAAGTTTATGTTTAAAAAACCGCTAGGAGGAATAGAATTCTGCTATTCTCAATGACGAGTACCTCATTCGTGAGGAGTCGCAACAAGCTGGTCACTTAGTGAGGTGAGGCAGAGCCTTCATATGAGCAGCCGAGTAGAGCAACAACAGAAAATGGATCTGGGCATGCACCCATTGTTGGTGGCTCAGCAACTCGTTCCTAATTAGTAAATGCAATCGCACACTTTGGCCGAGAAACAGCAAAATTAGGCAAATACCAAGCCAAATTTTGCGCATGCCTTTAATAAAGACGAGCTGCCAGCAGGCTGGCCACTTGCTCGTCTTCTAGCGAACCGTGCTGAACTAATCCTTGGGTACCACCTAAGCTATGCTTTGCGGTGTGCAACGCCCTCACATCATGAAGGAATGACTGAGAGGCAGTGAATGACCTGCTGGAAAGGCAAGCAGTAGGATTCGGCAATCACACGTGGGCACAACCTGGTGTTGGTGCCGAAAAGGAGGGAAGGTGGTTCCTATGCGTTGCCCTCCAGCTCCTAAACAAGAACCCTTTGGAGCGGGGGTTGCCTTTGCCTCGAATCGGCGAAATTATTTCACACACCACGCGTAGCAACAGAGTGATCAGCATTTGACTCCACAGGCCTTTTCTTACAAATTTTCATTCACTCAGAAGACACGCATGAAACGTCCGTCCACGCTTGCACTTGCAAACTCGAGTAGACTTGTATGCCATTTAGAAATGCCAGTGCCCCGACCGAATCGCAACGTCTATTTAAGGGGAAATTTCATGAGCCTTTCAGGGAGGGGAGGATGGATGTCACATGGACGACGGCATTGTATTCTGCTGAAACGCTGAAGAGTGCCTGAACAACGTACTGGGTGCGCTTTGTGTAATATCAGGCAAGCACTGGTAGTTGAAGGCACGCGATAGTTTGTTTTGAATTTGCACATTGTGCTTTGAGATCCCGCGCCTCGGTTGCAGGGACTCAACCAGATCCAGCAGAAAACGAAGCACTGAAGGTGTGATCTTTACCGTTACGCACTCCGAAGTAGCTTGCAAATTTAGATAGGCTTGCATCTGAACACCAAAATTTCACCCATGGATTTGCTCCGATTCCTGCCTGTTTGCCTATTCTACTTCAGAAAATGAAGTCTATGGTCACGAACAGAGGAAGCCGCTGTCGCAGCAAGGAGGCGTATCGGCTGCCTTCTAAATCCTTGGGTACTTGCACTGTCCGAGTGTACGGGTACTTGCACTGTCCGACTGTGAGCATTATTCTTCCCAACATCTCTGTTGCTACATATGTAGTGTTAAGTATCACGCTTTTCCGACAGGATGTATGCTCTCAACAACAATAATTGACTGCTTGTTTTTGTCATCGCTCGATCGGGCCAAGCAGCGATATCCTGTGCGGCGAGCAGAACTCCATGCAGCGTGGTGGGGAATATAAAGTGCCGGCACTACTTATATTGGTGTCAAGTAATGTATACAAATAACTACTTGGGAATTTTCCAATTTTGGAACTATTTGCTGCCTTGGGCACCTCCTTCCGTGTAATTATCAATGTGGCAAGTTAAGGGCATCACCAATGTAGTAGCCGGCGCGTTCTCTCGATGCCCCAGCAGTTCATTGTGGTGCAGCGTAGCCTCATTTGGCTGTAATGATTTTCGGCTCTCATCGAGGCTTAGTAAGTTTATGCTTTCGGTACCCATGCATCGCTATTCTTGCCAACCGTCAACATGGTTGAAAGTTGAAGCAATACCTCGTTGAGAATACTCTGCTGTGGTTCAAACGAGAGGGGAAAATCCGCCGCCTGTAGATTTCAACTTCATTTTTCGGCGCCGCCTTGCGCAAAGCCCATGCTTATGTTTTTCGGGCGATGGTAAGACCTACCCTGTTTAAAAACTTTAGCGGTCTTCCTGGTGGCTTGGGATGCGGCCCGGGGCAGTGGAGTGCGAAGTTTCATGCCCAGATTGTCATTAGTCGGAGCCAGACAATTTTCCTTAGCCCGGCATTTTACATAGCCTATCAAATCCCTGAATAATTCAAATTGTTTTGGCAATAAACTGTCTTGTTGGACTGCCGAGGTTCACGGGTCGGGATTGCATCCTCATCCTTATCGACAGAGCACTCCCATTTTATCCCTCGATTCAGCTCTGTTGTCGCTCAGGAATTTGCTCCTTTATTCATGCCTCATGTACGAAATCTCTACAGATTTTCCAGGAGTATCGCTACCGAAAGGAGCCTGAAGCTTGTTGGTGCGTTCTGGTGTGCGTTTATTATGCTCACTTGCACACTCAGTACAACATATCCAGTGCACATCATTCTGATGCATATGGCTAGACGGAGCGCACCAGTCGCACCCTTGTGCAGTATTCGCGCCTTTAAGAAAGTGCAACCACTTGGATTTAGTTTCTTTCTTCTGCTGAGTGGTTGTAATACAACACAGGGTCTTCACATGCTGTTCTCCCACAATCCGGGCTTACGTTAAAAAGCTCCCCTTTGCTCCGGGTCTGGACCTTGCGACCCGAGATCACCAGCCACTCTGAGCAACAGAGGAACTCATAGAAAAGGTGAATAATGCGGGTGATTGCATGCGAAACGCACAAGAGAGAAACGCACACAGTTATGACAAGCAGCGTTCGACTGTGTATTTCGGGCCTGGAAAAATTGCCCGCGTAACTAGGCAGACTTTATACAGTGCATCGAAATGAGTAGACAAAAATTTGCGGCTTTAAGCTAGCGCCATTTCTACGCTTTTCTGAATCAACGCTGTTTTTAACACTTTTGTCAGACCTATAGATGCGGCAGTAACATTGCTTCGCTGAAGTGGCTCCAATTTGCCGACGTGCTTGCGGACCTTGCAGTGCAGGCACGTGACCAGGCTGGACGCGGGGAATTTTTGGAAAGCCATAGAAATTCTAAGTTCAAGGACTATCGAGCATCAAGAGCACACTGGAGAGAATTTCCAGTAAAATTACATGAGGAAAGCCAGTATAAGTCGTTGGCAGCGGAGCAGTTGCGGGCTCTGTTGCCTGTGGGAGAACTTGCGGCTCTGTTTGGCTCACAACCCTAGCTACCATAGACAGTATTCCTCGCGCCTTTGGTATCTGTTCTTATCCAGCGCATGCTCTACCTAAAATCAACACCTTCACCTATAAATACTGGTTGGCACGGCCCCAAAATATTCTTGTTAAGGTGCACCCTACTCTCAGATTTATGAGCAGCCGCTCTTCGGTGTGTTGCCTCCCACACTGTCCCCCTGTGCTCTCTTGAGGCTCGAGAGCCCACTGTGCTGCCTGTGCCGTCTGTATTTACCTGCAAAGACTACTGCATGCATACCTGAGGTGCTGCCGTACTAGTGCGTATTTTGATTGTTTGTAGACATTTTCCTTGTCTTCTGTTTCTCGCAGCTGGAGACTCCCATAGCAAGACATCGCTCTGCGGCGCTCGCGTTGGTTTTGTCTTCGTTGGTGATTGGCCAGTGTTTGTACGTTCTTCCCTTCAGTTTCCCTCTATCATCATATGCACCCTTGTTTTCGCATTTGTAGTGTTTTTGCGTTTGTGAGAGGCGGGGTACCATGCCAGCAGCTCTTCTGCTGCCCTGCAGGTAGCTGGTGTCGACATCAGGTAAGGGAAGGAGAAGGTTTATCGTGGCTAGCTATAAGCGCTTTCTACTCCACTAGTGTATTTAACCGCAAATTCCTAATAAATTGACTGTTTGGCTTGTCTGGATCGATTCTACTAATCGCAAAATGGCGTCAACTCAAAAAGATTAGGCGCAATGTTGCATACGTGCACACAACGTGTAGGAACCCGTAACCGGCTAAGCCGAGCATAACGAGATTCGACTACTCTGGTGACACTTGGCCAGGAATTAATGAAGAATTGACCAATGACTTTGCCCGTTCGTACACTACATTAGAACATGCCCTGTTGCATTGAGCTACAAGTACTCCGCGGCAATTAAAATCACGAGTAGGCAAATCAAATAGTCAATTCATGACATTTTCGCACTTAAATCTAACTAGTGTAGCAGAAGGTGCGGCCCAAAAGTAGCATAGCCCACTACAGGAGCAGTATTCATTACTTAAATAATCCAAGAAGCATGATTATTTCGAGCCAGTGTTGAACATGTATCGGCAGAGAATGTCTAGGTAAGTGCACAACTGAATGCGCCAATACATGCTCAGCTAATGCCTCTCCAGAGCTTCCAGGAGCTGTGTGGGCGCTCTCAGGCTCCTAATTGAACAAAGAATTACCAAATGCTAAAGAACTCGGAAAATTCGCACCCTTGGCCCACCGAAATCTTATAAAAGAAACAAAAATACACGCAGTCATCGGTATTAAAGCATGCCCAGGACAAGTATCACTGCTCATGGGCATGCATACGCAGCTGGAGCGCGCCAACAACGGGAAGCCTTGCGAATAGCGAATCTGAGGTTCTACTCCTGCAGCCACTTTCTTGCTTGGTTGTATCATTTTTGACACTTTGCTGCGTCTCCGATAGCAATCTTACTTGTATTCCCGCGCCTCGGCTTTTAGCAGAACCTCTTTTTTTGCAGGCGAGCCCTAGGGCTCAACCCCCCACGATCGCCCGTGAGAAAGGGCAGCAAGAGCGCTTTAGACTGGCGCAACTATCAGCTATTCTTAGTTGGTTCAGTTTTTTGACATCGGCTACTGAGGCCGTGCTGCTGAAGGGAAACCTTGTGGGGGCGCTCTAGTTATCCAGGTGCCTCTGCATGCTCGATCTACAGCATGAGGCACCGCTGTAGCATGGAGCAGATCTACAGATTGTCAAGACCTGTTCTTCACTAAAAGCGGTTCCAGCGCAGAAGGACTATTTATCATAGTCCTGCAAGCCATGATGCCGCCGCTGGCCACGTGGCCAGGGATGGAACATAGTTATGAGGCTGTGCGCAAGTGCCCTTGAGTGTGAGAAGCCGAAAAACAGCGGGTTTTCTTCGAGTGCAGCATAATCTCCTAGAGGCGCCTCAGCTTGCGAGCAGTTGTTTCGCTCAAGCGGACTGCACTGCACCAGCAGAGGATCGCCGAGTACTTTGGATAGGTTTTCTGGGGGCATCGAACGCAGCTCTCGCACACAGCAGACACGTGCACGAGGCAACCCCCGATACAATGGCAGGTACAGGGGAGACGAGTTCGTCGCTTGGTGAGGGTGGTAGGGTCCGGGGTTCTCAGAGCAAGGCTAAGAGCTCCAGCAGCAGCAGCAGCTCTAGGAGGCACCATAAAGCTAGTGGCAGCAGCAGGGGCGCATTGGAGAGCAGCCACAGTAGCAGTAAGGGAGCATCCCGGTCGGTCGATGGCAAGAAGGAGAACAGTCGCTCCAAGGGAGAATGTGAGGAAACCGGAGCAAAGCAGAAAAGCAGTGGCGATGGCCATGAGACGAGCACTGCGAGGGAGAGGAGCAGGAGCAAGGACTGCCACAAGCATTCCAGCCACAGCAGGCGCAAATCGGAAAACGAAGGTTCCAGGAATGGAGGCAAGGGAGACAAGGATCCTAGGGGCCAAAAGCGCTCCTATTCTCACAGGACGCAGGACGATCCCACCAGGGAGCGCAGTCACAGCATACACAAGAAGCAGAAAAAGGAGAGCAGCCCATCTGTACAGCGACCGCGCATTATCAACACCACAGATCCTACTAAGAACACCCTGGGGGATCCTTTTCCTCCCGACCTCGAGGGGCCATGCTATGTGAAGCTGCTGCCTCAACAGCGAGACGTTTCGATCCTCCTTGGCGTAGACAACAGGGGTCTCGCGAACTTGGCGAAGAGTCATGGGTGCAAGAGCCGGTTGTCTGCTAAAGACGTCTTCTTTCCCCAGACCAACAGGCGCATGCTGCTGCTTCAGGGAACAGTGGATGCTATCCACAGAATGACTCGGCAGGCGCTGCAGACGATATCCGAGCCCGGAAAACACCGAGACAGCGCGAGAAGCTGCAGCGTTACTTTCATTGCGCCACACGATGCCTGCGTGCTCGTGCCGGAGGGTAGCGATCAGCCTCTGCGGAAGTTGAGGAAAGTAGGCAAGGCAAAATTGACTATCAGTGACAGGAAGGACATGAAGAAACAAGGCGGCCGAGAGCGACTTCTGACCCTAGAGGGTGGTCTGCCGGACGTGCAAGAGGCGGCGTGCAAGATGGTGACGCTGCTACAGCAGATTGCCGATCTCAGAGACTACACGAACCTCAAGTACGACAGCTGCATGCCGAAGGAGAAAAAGGAGGAAGAGGAGGCGGTAGATGACCTTCTGGGTGAGGAGTTGGACGAGTCGACAATGCAGGCATTGGCAAGCATTCTTATCCCGCCCAAAGAAGAACCCGTGAAGGCTGGCGTGGCCAGCGTGGCTCCCAATATTCCAAATTTGTCAGACTCCGCCAAAGCCGCGCTCATCAGTCAGGCGCAAGACGAACTGGCGCGTATCAGCAATATGCGGTACATGCGAGACAACAGGCACGTTTTGCTGCAAGGTCCCGCATACCACAAGGTGCTTGTCAGTGACCTAGTGGCTGCGCAGCTTCTGGGCTCGAGTGGAAATATAATCAATCAGTTCGAAGCGGAGTATGCTGTCCAGGTAAAAATCGCTCCCCCCGAGCCGCCTCCATGCACAGAGCGCATTGTCATTATCAGCGGTCAGCCGCAAGATGCTGATCGAGCCCTTTTGGCTGTCCTGGAGAAAGTGTACGCTGCATGCCTCATGGTCGGTCATGCGAACTTCATGGTGTGGCGCATGTGTGCTATGAGCACATGCTGCGCATTTATCTGCGGGCCTGGAGGCCAGCGTATTCGGCAGCTTGCCAGTTTCACAGGAACGCGAATTCAGATTTCCAACAGAGACCAGCAGACGCCCTCGCATCACGCGGCGCAGCTGGTGCCTTCGAACCCCCATGAACGTATCATTTCTATTTTGGGTCCACTTGAGCAAGTGACCATTGCAATCAAGGCTATGCTGCCATACATCCATGCAGATCCAAACCAGTCGCTCTCGGTGCATCAGACGTACGGGCATGGTTACAAGCTTAAGATGCCTGCGTGGGCAGAAACAGGGGTGCTGCAAGAGGGAATGAACATGGAGGCGCTAAACGAAGACCCCTTGGAGGATGAGCGGCCTATTTCTCTGCCGGGCCCGAGCCATATTAAACTTTTAATTGACCCTGCACTGGCGAACTCGCTTATTGGGAAGGAAAGCGCGACCATTACAACGGTATCGAAGGAATGCGGATGCAGCATGCACGTGTTATCCTCCAAGAACAAGTTCCCCGACTCTACAGACCGCATTTTGCTAATGTCCGGCCCTGCGGAGTCCATTAGCAACGGCGTCATCGCCTTACTGGAGCGCTGCAAGGAGGTGCATCCGAACTTACCGTATGACCAAATGTATGCGAAGCTGGTAGTACCCATCAGCGTATGCGCGTCTGTGATCGGGCCCGGTGGAACCCGTGTGAGAGAACTACGGGAAGCAACGCTGACGCGCATCACGATCGATAGAAGCACGAACCCGTGCTCGGAACGCATCATAGCGGTCCACGGGATGGCTCAAGGCGTCCACCAAGCAGTCGTGGCCATCAACACAATTGCTCAGACAGATCCCAGCTTGGTGCTTATGCTTGAGCTGCAGTACGATTACTTGGAGCAGCAAGATTCTCAGCAGCAGAACGCCCAAGTTGACTCCAACATAGTTGGTGCAGTCCTGCAGGGAGTTCTTTCTGTGAGCAACAAGGTCGGCGGTGGTGCCGCAGAAACTGCTGTCAAGCGCCTGGAAAGCTTGAAGCAGGTACGTATGTGGTTTTTTAGGGTCTTATAGGTCTAGGCATCCCCCCATTTGTTAGCTGATGCCTGGTGGTGAATCTTCTATTTGCAAGCAAATGTTCTCCAGTGCGAGTGGGGGCGGTGCCAGTTCGCTTGGCTTTGCGGATGATGCAGCCGTGTGCGAGATAGCAGGGGAGAAATTTGTTTTGTCCATGCGTTCTTAAACCATTTGCAGGCGACGGCAGCTCAGGGACAACTGGGCCCTATGGGGCAGCTAAAGTCTGGTCACACTTTTAACTATGATGCCCCTGTATCCTTCGTTACGGCTTCGTCAAGCCCTCCAGTTGCATCAGAGGCATCCAAGAGCTTCGCACTGGCGCAGAGAGCAGCACAGGCTCTTGGTGATGATCCGCGTGTCCGCCCGCCGTCGCCGCCACGCCAAGAGGAGTGGGAACATCAACAGCGGGAGATTGAGAGGTACGAGCAGCAGAGAGTGGCTGGCCAGGCGCATGGAATTGCTGAGACTGCTTTGCCTCCGCCTTCTGGACCCTCGTCAGTGCAACAGAATTACCTTCGGCAGGCGCCAGCTAATGCGGTTCAGCAGCAGAATGGCATGGACGAGGACGACGATCCACTGCTAGAGGGGTTGATGAACGAAGCGTTCTGAGCGTATGGCTGGTACAGGGTAGATGGGAGGCTCTCTGCCCGTGACATTGCTTAACAAATAGGTCAATTTAGTCGGCTGAGAGGCAGGCATGTGGTCAGTGTCTCAGTTCCTGCCGTTGAGTTCGTTTCCACCCCACTCTCACCCAATACTGACTCACATTGGGCCGCTATTCTAGCGGTTGATAGGGCAACAGCGCCCAGAGTTGGGAGCAAGGTTTTTGCTGTGCTGGGAAGGGTCGGCTTAGGAAGGAGAGGCCCCACGGGCACCGCTAATGGTACGCATACCGTGCGCAATTCGGTAATACCTTTTTCTAGCGGAGCCATCGAGCTTCGGGGCAGTTTCTTGGCTCTGCATGGTTAGGAGGCAGCCAGAGACCGATACGAGTTAGGAGCATGGGGTGACAGTATATACTTTCGGCAAAAAGCAAGGTAAACGCTCAGGTGTAGGCGGCACCATGCTAGGAGTACGTGATTTCCGCCTTTATCAAGGTTTAGCTAAAACGTTGAGCTTTTCTGAGTAGCCAGAGCAGCTGGGAGCTGCTGGGATTCTTCGTGCAGTGTGCCCGTTGCACAGTTGTGGTACAGCATACTCACGTGGCTGGTAGCGTGTTTCAAGGGACGCGTCGTAGGATAAAAGCGAAATTTTGGCTTATCCCAGACAAATTAAAAGTAGTTGACGGCCGACTAAATTTCGAGAATAGTTGTTCATTGCAGGGTCCTTGTTCCCTGTATGATTCGCCGCTGGGCACGGTTTTCGAGAGCTTATTGTATATGCAGGTGCGTGTCCGACCTTCGGCGCATATAGCGTATCCAATGTATGCATGAATCAAGCAGGCAAAAGGGAGTACTGAAGGCAGCAGTAGGGTTTGAGATTGTAAGTTGCACGTAGATGCAGCGAGCAAGTACGATACCAATGCCACTATCTGTGAAGGCTCGGAGTGCCTGAAGTGCAGCTAAATTCCTCCTAGCTGTACCACTCCCCTGACGTCGCGAGCTTTGAGAGGCGCGGGCATTGGAAGGAGGGAATTTTTTGGAAAACATACGCTGATTTCCAGCACCTCAGTGTTGCGTCTGGAGTTAGGTGTCTCCCTTCTGAGACGTCGAGCAGTTTATTTGGGAGTACCACTTGATTTCGATGCACTTGCTCCCCGTTCATCCACACACAGTGAATGCAATGTCAGGCTTCCCTGCAACAGTTGCGTGCTTTGCCCCAAGAGATCTGATACTTCAGTAACCTGGTTTTCTTTCGCAGCAGCCTGGGAAAATCCCTTTGTTGATGGACGCAGACAATGGCACAAAGCCTGTTGGGGTGGCAGATTCCCGCCTGTAAGCTTGTGTGAACGCTGTAGCTTCACAGGTGGTAGGAAGGCCTGAATTCCCGACCGACAAAATATCAATGGATTCGTCGGTGAGGTTAAGCCGACCAGATAATAATACCACCCGAAAGGATGGGCAAGTATCCGAAGAATTTATTTGCTGATTGGAGAGCGTACTCCGTGTTGCACCCTGCAGAAGAAGAAAACCCGATGACTGTTGCGCCATGTTTCTTGAAGGAAGCAGCACTTGACGAGTGGTTCTGCTCATGCAGAGGGAACCGTCTGCCTGCATGCAGTCCCTACATTTCAAGCCTTCATACAATCCCTCATTATCAGTTTATGCAGAGGTTAGCTCCAACGGCAAGCATTGGGAAGACTGAAAAAGCTAAAACACGAGAAAAGATTGGTCTGTTGGTATTTCAAGATGTATGAAACTCTGGTGTTAAAGCCACAGAGGAGACTAACAGTGCCTTTATCACTGGTTTACCTCTGTCTACACAAAGTGTCAGGGCATGTGGGTGCAGTATAGAACAGCGACTGAGCAATGACCAAGCAGCCGACGATTGCGGCTTCCACACACGGCGAAATAGCTGAAGGTAGGAGCAAACGAGCACAATGATATCTTGATGGGTTGAAAGAGAGAGCCAAGCTGGGATCCAAAATCCATGGATTTCATGACTGTGTCAACTCGCCTCTGCCTGCAGGCGAAGGTGGGTTTGACGGAGAGCTGGAAGAAACCGCACATTTCAGCAGCCTAGGAAAACAGCGCAAGGCGCCTGCTTGCATTTCGCGTGATCTGCAAGCGCACGCACAAATCTAAAGAACTTAAAACAATAGCACTAGGTCCAGCGGAAGCATGCTGCTTGGTGACTAAACATGGTGCACAAGGGAACGTCAATCTCGTGCGCTGGCTTTGGCCTAAGTAAAGGGGGTTAAGGAGGATCGAGTCGCAGTTAGGAGCCCACTACTGCTCAGAACTAGGCGGTGATGCAAGCTCACATTGCTGGTCAAGAATTGTTAGCGTTTCTTGACGCTGGGTGTAAACTGAATCTGTTAGGCGAGGGGATGGCGCAGAAGTGCAAGCTGCCTGTCCACTCTTTAACGCAGTCCCGAAGACCAAGGTTTGCTAATGGGCGCAAGAGCTCAAGGACTAGCAAGGCAACGGCAATGAATCACTACTTCAAATTGGAATGTAGTTGTATCAGCATGATCCAGAACTTTTATGCTTGACCAGTGCACCACGGCGTAATCGTAGATATGTCGTGAGTAAGCAAATGGAAGGCACGCATCCGGCCACAGCTGTGCTCTCTGGACATAAATGTGTCTAGAAGCGCTACGAAAATCCCTATCCTGGTTTTGTAAGCACCGCGTATTTCATCGACAGTGAGGTAGAGTTGGTCCCTCAATAGTGTGAGGCAGAGTGGCCATGCAAGTGGCTCAGCAGTAAGAGAAGACAGGTCTGAGCATGCGTCCCTTCTTAGCGGCTTGACAGTGGGGCCTTTAATAGCGAATTCTACTGTTGTTTTTGTCCAAGGAACCGCCGAAGAGGACAAAAAAAGAAAGTTTGTGCATGTGCTTGATAAAGACAAGCTGCCAGCAGGATGGCCATCTTCACGCCGTCCAGCCCACCGTGTTGTGCTAGTTCCTGGGTCTGTGCCTAGCTATGTTTCGCGTTTTCGAAAGCCTTTTCAGCATTAAGAGATATACGAGCGTCAGGTGGCTAATTTGTTGAAAAAGGCAAGATATAGGGATTGGCTAGTCTTTGTGAGTGTATATGTGTGTTAGTGCCTAGGAAAGGGTCAAGCACATGCTTCAGCTTTAAGCCCATAAAAAAGATCACCTTGAAGCAGAACCTGCCGATGCCCCCATACTACCAGACTGCTTTACAAGCTACGCGAGAAAAACAGTCTAATTGCCGTTCGAAATTATAGATAGCGCCTGACTAATCCTCATTCATCTGGTGAAAGGCACACAACAGCGTTCCACACTCGCCTCTCACATTCTAGTAGATTCGTAGGCGATTTGGACTTGTCATTACCGCAGCTGAACTGCAAAATTCAAGTTAGTTGGAGCTGCAATGAGCCCACCAATAAAGGGAGGATGGCTGTCTACACGGATGACGCCCTAGTATTCGGCCGAAACATTTGAGAACATCTACAGCACGTAGGACGTGCGTTTCAGTGGATGCGGGGCAAACAGTGATATTTGGAGGCACACAAGTGCTCTGGTTTAGCTCTCTCAGCAGTGTCTTTGCGATACCTTGCTTGGATTGAAGGCGTTGGGCCCGACCTGGCAAAGGTGAAGCAATGATGATGTGGCCATTACCACTACGCACCGCAGGTATGCTGCAAATTTCTTTGGACTTGCGTTTTACCGCTAAAATATCGTTCCTGGATTCACCCGAACTGTGGCTTCTTTAACTGATTTGATTCAACATATTACATGAGCTGGACAGAAGAGGCAGATAGCGCACCAATGATGTCGACTCATAACTGCTCCAGCACTGGCGCTTGCCGATTATGAGCGTCGTTTCTCTCTTAATACCAGAGCTAGTGGCGGGTGAAGGATGCGATATTTCCCAACAAGCTCTTGATTATCCAAAACAAGGGCAGCTTTGCTGGTTATTCGAACCGCTCCACAGTAACAAAGCAGCGATATCGGGTGTGGCAAACGAAACTCTATGTGGTGCGGTGGGGGGTGACGGTATGCTGGCACTATTTAGATGGGCGTCGTATTAGAGTCCAGACCGACCACCAGCCTTTAATACATCTTACTAAGAGATATTGGGACTAAAAATTTTCAGGGATGCTCGTTGGCTTGGGCATCTGCAGGATGACTATACACTGGAGTACATTAAGGACATCGCCACCTTAGTCCCCGACGCGTTCTCGAGCGCCTCAGCAATTTACCATTGCCCAGGACAAAGGCATTTTTTTGTCGTGACCTTGCTCCGCCCGTCAGCAAATTTTTGTCTTAGGGACTGCGCTAGAAAGTAGACATGCAGACTGCACTTCTCGCCATCTCGCCCAACAGATTAATTTCCCACCCAGTGTCAAGTAACTCTAACAATTCTTGACCATCAACGTGAGTTTGCATCACCGCCCAGTACTAGCCAGTGATGAATTCCCAACTGTCACTCGATCCTACTTTTTGTGCCGAAGCGTGCGTGGAGGATTGCCTTCTCCTGATGCACCTTGTTTGGTCGCCAAGCAGCGTGTTTCCGCTGGACCCAGTTCTGTTGTTTAAAGTCCTGCATGCACTTGCAGTTTCACATTGAATGACACAACCTCCATGATGCAAACAGGTGGGCTGTATGGGACTGCTTAGAATCATGGGTTTCCACTGGCTTTCATTAGTAACCTACAGTAGCCTGTAGGCTAGAGTGGCTTGACACAACGTCGACACTTACAGACTTTAAATCGCAGCTTGACTCTTCAACACAGCCAAACGCGCAGCGGCTTCATTCATTATCTCCTGAGCGTCAGGTAGTCCATCCTGTATGATAGCCCCACCCATCGGTTGTTTAGTAGTGGATGACTCTCTGCCCACTGTGCGACCACACGTCAAGACACTTCGTCTAGACCCGGGATGGACAGTTTACAAAGCAGCTGTTTGTCTTTTTCGTGGCTTTTGAAGGCAGCCAAAACTTCGTACTGCTCGATGTGCCAATGTAATGGTAGAGTCT